ACGTGTTGTCTCGTTCGCCGACCGCAGTGAAAAGAATGTTTCGTTCTGTTTTGTTAGCAATGAAGCGGTGAAGTGGCCCTTGCGCGCTTGTGTGAGTGCAAATTGATGTGTGAGAATGTGTTTGCGGTGACGTTTCAATCAAATGTCACATCCTATCCTTTTCCACGGCGATGCAGCGAATTAAAGACGAATCTGCTCAAATTGACTCAGATGGCGCCAGTTGAGAATAAAAAGTACAAACTTGATTTATTTTTGTCGACTATTTATTTTTGAATCAATTGTTTTACATTTTCACTGATGAATTAAGGCAAACAAGAGGTATGATTTTTAGAGAATTTGATTTCGTAAAGAAAAAAAATCAAATGAAAATGTCAAATGTAATCGTTAAGCATCATGTTAGTTCGGCATTCAAAATCCAAATCGAAAGTAGTTTTACTCGAAATTAAGTTGAGGTACGGTGATTGGTCGTTCAGTTATTCAATTCGATGAGAATGATTTGATTAGGGATTTTTCTTGTTGTGGATTAGACTTATGTGTCGCTTCAAGTTCCCTTTTTGCGCGAATCGTGTGTGGCACAACTGGCACTGGAACGGTTGATCGCCTGAATGGGTCCGCATGTGCTTTTTTAAGTTTGTTTTGCGTGAACCAAAGAACTTTGTGCACAAATGACATTCATAGCACCGTCGATCGCAATTTCTTCGGTGGGCTTTGCACTGAGATTGCTTCAAGAAACCTTGTTGACAAATCGAACATTTGAATGGAAGCTTTTTTGTATGAGATGTCATGTGCTTGCGGAGACCACCGTCCTGTTTGAATTGCTTCGAACAATGTTGACATTCGAATGGCGTTTCACCAGAGTGGGTGCGCATGTGATGAACCAAATTACTTCTATGCAAACCAAATGACTTGCCACAAACGTAGCATTCGAATACATCGCGATTGCACTTCTCCCCGTGTGCATTTTTTTCGTCTTGATGTGGGAATGCCATGCGACAGTGTGAGCAGCGGAATGAGTACGGACCTGCATGGAGTTTCGAGTGGCGATTGAGATTGCGCTTATCTGCGAATTGCTTTGAACATTGTGTGCATTCGAATGGTTTGACGCCGCTGTGCACACGCATGTGAATCATTGTGTTAGCTTTCATTGATCCAAACGATTCCTTGCACAAGTGACATTCGTAACGAAAGACTTTGCAATTTACTTCGTGCGCTGCCTTTTCATCTTTCCCGTCGAATCCTTTCAAACAGCCTGGGCAATAGAACAGGAACTGTTCAACGTGAACTTTCATGTGGGCACGAAGATATTGTTTACTTGTGAACCGTTTCGGGCACAAATCGCATCCGTGTGGCTTTTCGCCCGTGTGTATCAATAGATGTTGATTGAAATGACTTTTGTGGTCGGTGGAATATTCGCATTGATCGCACTTGTGTTTCTTCGACACATTTTTCGGATCACCAACTTTACATACTTTCGGCTTCGTTGCACCATGGCCACTTACTTGCGGTAGTATATCGTCCTCATTTTGATGTTTTGGCTGCTGCAGATCGTGTTGATTTCCTTCTGCATCTTCGCCTGAGTCAGCGTTTGACTTCGATGCTTCCTCCTTCTTTTCTTCGACTTCTTTTTTCACCTCGATTTTGACATCGCAATCAATATCATCAAAATCATATTCGCCGTTCGATTGATCGACACCAAGCACGAGTACAACGCCACGATTATTCCATGACGGAACGGGAACATCGATTAATTCACCAACTGACTGTGGCTCTTCCTTGATTTGAGGCTCTTCTTTGACTTCAACTGGACGATTCAACTGGTTGTTAGT